ACTCCACTTCACCATATAGTATTTATAAATAGTCTCCATGGGGAAGTGGAACAGAATTCTGCTCTGTAAGGCATGCGTGTCCTAAAGGCGATTAAAATGCCGGGAGCAAGGAGTTAGTAACCCATTCTGTACATATTACTAAATTTAAAAGGAGAAACTTTCGTTTTTCCTCTTGAGCCACCCTGCCTTGGTGGGATATGGCTGGTTTGTGTATTTCCTTCTTTGGGTTACCCTGTCTTGGCAACACTGAATCTCATACCAGATGGAAACAGTCATTATTGCTTTTGCCATTGACAGTTCTTTTGGAAGGTTCCTAAGATAAGTTTCAAAGTTGATGGAGAAATTTAGGTGTGTAAAAGAAGGAAAATAAGTGAATACAGAAAAGAGCAGGGTGGATGAATGAAAGGAAACAAATGAACAGTGTTTGTATATTTTGAAAAACAGTAGGTGGAGTGCTGAAGTATATGTGGAGAGAAAGCAATTTAGATATAGAGGCAAGAATAAAAAAAAAGAAATAACAGATTATTATTATTATTATTACATCCACTGGGTAGTGCTAACCCCATAAGGGTTATACAGTACCTGGGATGAATGGAAGACATTCAGATTTGATACATGGAGGGGAAAAGCAGGGCTAATTTGTTGGATCAAGAACCCCTGAACCAATGAACCTCCCTTGAGGGGCAGAATGTACCAGAGAATAGTGATAATAATCCTTTTATATCAGTGTTAGGAGCACATGGCTTAAACACTGCAGTGAGGAGGAGGCTGGAGGCTGGAAGCAGAGGAGCTATCGTGTGTGAGAGCAATGTGAGGTGTGAATATTATGCAAACAAACTGGAGTGAATAAATTAGAAGATAATGTGGGGTTATGAATGATATTATACAGAGGATAGAGCAGGGGTTGTTGAGGTGATTTGATCATTTAGATTATAGAGCAGAATAGGATGACCAACAGGTATACATCTGGAGTGGAAGGAAGGAGGGTAAATTGTTATTCCAGGAAGGGTTGGAGGGAGGGTGTGAAGGAAGTAGGGTGGTAGGGGTTTGAGCAATAAATATGAGTGTGTGAACTTGTCAGATTGGGGTGAGTGGAGACTAAGTGGTTTTAGGAATTCGATATACTGTTTCCTCTTTTTTGGGTCATCCTACCTTGTTGAGAGATTTCTTATGTGAAGATACCTAAAGATTGTCTAATATATGCAAAGCTCCTTTGTATAAGTAGAAATGAAACAAGAAAGGCTGTGCAAAAATTGAAGGGAAATAAATCCTCCGAGTACACCACATAAAGTATGTATTACATGGTGCGAATGTGTTAGATAGGAGTGGAGGCAAATGGATTTTGGGGGCCTGACGAGCTGTTGGAGTATAAGCAAAGTAACATTTTGTGAAAGGATTCAGGGAAACTGGGTAGCCAGACTTGAATCCTGGAGGTTAGAAGCACAATGCCTGCATTCTAAAGGAGAGTTTTAGGATATTTACTGTTTAGAGGGGCTTCTGAACTGTCGTATCTGCATGCCCCTGGCAAGACAGGGCTAGTGTGAATGATGGTGAAAGTGTTTCTTTTTTGGGTTGCCCTACCTCAATAGGAAACAATCAGTGTGTTAAAGAAAAAAGGCAGAATTACTGAATATGATAGAAAAGATAAAGTATGACTGCTGAGAAAGAATGTGGATTTAAGAAGGAATGACTCGCATCAAGTCTTTACTGAAGAATACAAGGAAACAGTACTCAGTGGATTTACAAATAAAAATTTCAAGAGGTAGGAGTGCGAATATCCAGGAGGTATATTCAAATGTTTTAGATCACACTGAATGAAGGTAAGTGGTTTTTAAAACATATGCTGTTGGAGTATGAGTGTGGTATTATTTATGAAGGAATTCAAGGTAACTGGTCAACCACACTTTAAGTTAGTGGGAAGTACAGTACCTTCCATTTGAAAGTTGACTGGAGATGTTGCATTCTGGAGGGTCATAAGATCATGATGTATGTGCACTTCTAGAAAGACAGCTAGGAAGCGAGTGATGGTGACTGTGTTTTCTTCTTAGGGTCACTCTGTCTTGATAGGAAACAGCCGATAAATCAGCTAATAAAATGACTAAATCTCAAAAGGAAGAACTGCATAATATGAACAAATAGTGTGACAACTGGTTTAATATAAGTGCCTAAGAATGGAAATTGAAGAAATTGATATAAGGCCACATGACTAATACAGACTGTGGTTAAATACTGAAAGTATCAGATGTAGAGAGGAAGCTACGAGTAACTAGAAAAAAATTACTATCACTTCAAGATTACATGAAGAAAATTGTAAGAAACCCATATGCCACACCAAAGTAAACATCAGATATATGGATATAGTAATGCTAAAAGAAAAAATCTGGAACTCTTTGTCTGAAAACTCCTGAAGTTCCATATCTGACAACCACTTCAAAGGTACTGTTAAAAAACACCACCTTATCTTAATGTGATCCTGACAACAATTTATCATGCCAAACAAATCCTGGAACTGTCTTTCATCCAACATTACCTCCATTTTTGTTCCATCCTTCCTTCAACTCTCATTTATTACTATAAAGGCATTTATTGTATCAACTCAGGTACCTAGCTTCATCATTAATGTATCTCAAATTACAATTTTTTACTGAATTACTAAATACCTCAGCACATCATAAACTAAGTATTCTTATTCTCAAGTGCTATACATATCTGATAGTAATTTTAAGTTAGTTTTAAGGCTGATGAAATGCCTTGAATGACAAGAGGCTTTTCGTGAAGTAGTTTATACATGTCAATTACTCTGTATACTGTACAGTACTCCACTTTATAAAAATGAAGTTGTTTGTTTTAGAAAGTTATTCACAAAATATGTTAGACAAACGGATGGGACAGAAAATGTTCAGCAAAGCAAACTGTTCTTTGACATCTTACTTTTAACTCTCCTGACATTTATATTCTATTATTATATTATTTAATCCCTCACTTCAAATACTTCAGCCTTTTTTTCAAATTTAACTCATCTAGAACAACAATTCTGTTACTCTTCCTTATTTCATCTATATTTTCTCTCACTGGACTTTTTTTTTAGTTTCTGTATCACAGAAAATTCACTCTGGAATCTATACTGTCAAGCCTACTACTGTAACACCCTCATCTCTTCCTCCTGTGTGACAACAGACCTAGCTATGACCTGAACCTGGTATAGAACATAACATGAAAGGAGTACTACTGCAAGCCTACTGGCCCAATCTAGGCAAGTTCAACTCACACCCATCCACACCCACTCATGTACTTATCTAACCTATTTTTAAACCTACTCAGGTTTTAGTTTCAATGATGCTACGTGGGAGTTTGTTCCACTCATCTACAACTCTATTACCAAACCAATACTTTCCTATGTCCTTTCTAAATCTTATATTTTCCAAAATGAACCAATTGCTGCAAGCCCTGTCTTGGTTAGATATTTTTAGTATATTATTTACCTCCCCTTTATTTCTTTTTTGTCATTTATATATCTCAATCATATACCCCTATATCTACACCTTTCTAGCGAGTGTAGATTCAGTGCCCTAAGTCTATCCTCATAGGAAAGATTTCTGATACATTGGATCAACTTTGTCATTCTTCTCTGCATGTTTTCCAGCCCATTTTTGTCTCTTCTGTAATATGGCTTCCTTCAGATCAAGTGTGAGCACTTAAAAACAAGGCACTGGCATTGTAATATATCTGGAGAGGGTTTTGGGGGTCGACACCCCCATGACCCAGTCTGTGACCAGGCCAGGGGTCTATTGGTAATCCCCCTTATGAAAGTGGGAGGCAGTTGAACAGTCTTGGGCCCATGACACATATTGTGTTTTCTTTTAGCATAATCGTGGAGCCCTTGCTTTTCATGGAGGATTTGTTGCATCGCCTGCTGAGTCTTTTCCTTGCATAGGGAGTGATTTTTTTGTGTGTAGATATGGGACTAATCCCTCTATGATTTTCCAAGTGTATATTATCATGTACTTTTCTCACCTGCATTCCAAGGAGTACAAATCAAAGGACTTCAACCATTCCCAGTAATTTAGGTGCTTTATCGTACTTATACATGCCATGAAAGTTCTCTGTACATTCTGCAGTTCTGTAATTTCGCCTGCCTTGAAAGGAGCCATTAGTATACAGCAATATTCCAGCCTAGAGAGAACAAGCAATTTGAAGAGAATCATCATGGGTTTGGCATCCCTAGTTTTGAAGGTTCTCATTATCCTTATCATTTTCCTAGCAGCTGTGGTAGATACATTGTTGTGATCTTTGTAAGTCAGATCTTCTGACATTATCACTCCTAGGTCCATCACAATAGTTTATGCTCTATTGTGTGGTTGGAATTTGTTTTATACTCCAATTCAGTTTTAATTTCTTTGAGTTTTGCATATAGGAGTAATTAAAATTTCTCATCATTGAACTTAAAATTGTTTTTTGCAGCCCATTTAAATATTTGGTTGATGTCAGCTCGGAGACTTGTGGTGCCTTCGATGGATGACAATGTCAAGCAAATTCAGGTGTCATCTACAAAGGAGGACATAGTGCTGTGGCTTACAAATCTCTCTATGTCGGATATGAGAATGAGGAACAGGCTGGGAACTAGTACTGTGCCTTGTGGAATAGAATTTTTCACTATAGCTGTCTCTGACTTTACTCTCTTACTATTACTCCCCTATTCTTAACCTATTTATCTCACTGTAATTTGTACTTTGTCAACATAAATACATAAAATATCCATGGGTAAGTGGAGAAGAATTCTTCCTCCGTAAGCCATGTGTGTCATAAGAGGTGACTACAATGCTGGGAGCAAGGGGCTAGTAACCCCTTCTCCTGTGTGAATTACTAAATTTAAAAAGAAAAACTTTGGGTTTTCTCTTTAGGTCACCTCATTGGGATATGGCTAGTTTGTTGAAAAAAAACAAACAAGAAGCACTCAACATACTACAACCAATATATCACCTGGCTAACAACATGCTCACCTTCCATGATTATGGCCAGAGGAAGGAGGGATACAGTCATCCAGGGCTGTATGTGATACACCATATCAATGGGGTTACTCAGTCCTAGTTCAGATTTTTGCATCACCAGCTGAGATAATGTCCATCGAAGACCACTGAGGAAATAACACTGAATTAAAACAGTTGCAAAATTATTGTTATTATCTGCCATAACTCTTCATAACACTGGCAGTATAATTTGATAACAAATTTCAACATTAAAATCTATTGCTAAACAAAACAACTGAAATCTGATACGCTCTCAAACAAATTACAAACACAAGTAATTGTTGTCACAGCTGCTCTTTGCTGATGACACTGTGCTCTTGGGAGATTCTGAAGAGAAGTTGCAGAGATTGGTGGATGAATTTGGTAGGGTGTGCAAAAGAAGAAAATTAAAGGTGAATACAGGAAAGAGTAAGGTTATGAGGATAACAAAAAGATTAGGTGATGAAAGATTGGATATCAGATTGGAGGGAGAGAGTATGGAGGAGGTGAACGTATTCAGATATTTGGGAGTGGACGTGTCAGCGGATGGGTCTATGAAAGATGAGGTGAATCATAGAATTGATGAGGGAAAAAGAGTGAGTGGTGCACTTAGGAGTCTGTGGAGACAAAGAACTTTGTCCTTGGAGGCAAAGAGGGGAATGTATGAGAGTATAGTTTTACCAATGCTCTTATATGGGTGTGAAGCGTGGGTGATGAATGTTGCAGCGAGGAGAAGGCTGGAGGCAGTGGAGATGTCATGTCTGAGGGGAATGTGTGGTGTGAATATAATGCAGAGAATTCGTAGTTTGGAAGTTAGGAGGAGGTGCGGGATTACCAAAACTGTTGTCCAGAGGGCTGAGGAAGGGTTGTTGAGGTGGTTCGGACATGTAGAGAGAATGGAGCGAAACAGAATGACTTCAAGAGTGTATCAGTCTGTAGTGGAAGGAAGGCGGGGTAGGGGTCGGCCTAGGAAAGGTTGGAGGGAGGGGGTAAAGGAGGTTTTGTGTGCGAGGGGCTTGGACTTCCAGCAGGCATGCGTGAGCGTGTTTGATAGGAGTGAATGGAGACAAATGGTTTTTAATACTTGACGTGCTGTTGGAGTGTGAGCAAAGTAACATTTATGAAGGGATTCAGGGAAACCGGCAGGCCGGACTTGAGTCCTGGAGATGGGAAGTACAGTGCCTGCACTCTGAAGGAGGGGTGTTAATGTTGCAGTTTAAAAACTGTAGTATAAAGCACCCTTCTGGCAAGACAGTGATGAAGTGAATGATGGTGAAAGTTTTTCTTTTTCGGGCCACCCTGCCTTGGTGGGAATCGGCCAGTGTGATAATAATAATAATAATAAAGTAATTTATTTCTTTTCTGCAGTATACAGGTAATGTAGTTTATGTGTAATACAATATTGTTAGGAACAAAAGAAAGTCAATAGCATGCAGTGCACTTCAGGCATTATATATATACAGTATGACTACCTACATGTAGGTACAGAAGTTATTTTTGTTGTGCCCCATCTCAAGTCCTCAATACCAATATTATTATTATTATTTATTATCCAGTGGTTGTAGTAGCTGTTGCTTCTCATGAGTCATTCCACTGTTCTACCACTCTGTTAGTAAAGAAAATCTAGTATTCTTTCAACATCACTTTTTTCTCAGTTAGAAAGTGTATTTTCTTGTTCTCCCTAGACATGTTAAGAAAGTTTCTGCCTAAGCTTCTGATTAATTAAGACTAAGGAAACAAACACCTTCAAGACTGAGGGACTGATTACCTCATCTTCTAATGACTCTAGTTTGTAAGCACTGTCTTTTTTTCTATACTGCTGCATAAGAAAAAAAAATTGCCTGCTACTGAAGTAAATCTGTGTAACCTTTATTAACTCAGTTTTTCGTGGCATTTTTTTCAGATTTTTTCTTTTTTACCCAGCCCAGTGGTCCACTGGCCATTGCCCAAATGCCCATATTGCCAATCCACCTCTGCATTCACCATCTGTGATGGGAAGGAACAAGATGCAAGGCTCATCCAAGGAAGAGTTGGAGGGAGGGAGTAGAGGAAGTTTTGAGTGCTATGGTCTTGAGTATCTTAAAGGCTTGATCGGAGTGGAGACAACTGATTTTTTGTGGTTTGATGTGCTGTTGGGGTGTGATAAGCATGATTAACAAAAATGGAGGGATTCTGGGGAAAAATGGTTAGCCTGGTTTGTGTCAATAAGCCCACAGCTTTTATCCCAGAAGTGCACATACATCATAATTCAAATGATTCTCAAACTGCAACATCCCCACTCTTCCTTCCAAGAGCAGACCCCAAACTTCCAACCTCCAGAACACACTGCCAGCTAACCAGTTATCCTGAATCCCTATACATAAGTTACCTGCCTCATTACACTCCAACAACACGTCTAGCCATAAAAACCACTTGTGTCCACTAATACTGATAAAACACACTCACATAAACCTGCTAGATACTCAAGCTTCCCAGCACTCAAAAATTTCCTTTACTCCCCCTCCCTCCAACCCTATTTAACTGCCCAAACTACCACAACAACCACTCCTCAGTCATCATATTTACTGTCGGTGCCAGATCAGCCGGGCTGTGGTTCGTACATTGGACTACGTGCGGCCAGCAGTAACAGCCTGGTTGATCAGACCCTGATCCACCAGGAGGCCTGGTTGTGGACTAGGCCGTGGGGACGTTGATCCCAGGACTCTGGGCAATTATTCCAGAACCTTCCCTCAACACACTAACATTCACTGTACTGTAGCAACTTAGTTACTGTAGGTAAATAACAATGAAATCACATGCATGTGCATGCATGTGATTTCATTGGTATTTACATACAGTAAGTTACTACAGTACATACTAAGGGTTTAGCTTATAAAATTGTGTGTATGATAGGATCTAAGTACAGTGGACCCCCGATTTAACGAACTTTTATCATTCCAGTATTGTTCAGGTGCCAGAACTGACGAATTTTATTCCCATAAGGAATATTGTGAGTAGAATTAGTCAATTTCAGCCCCAAACAAGGACATCAACGCACTTACATAAAACACTTACATAATTGGTCGCATTTGGAGGTGATCATTATGCGGGGGTCCACTGTATTCAAATATCACCTGCACAACATAAATTGTTGAATAATGAAATGAAGACAATAATTCAGTTACCTGAGCAAAGAGGCGATAATAACAAGGATGAAGCCAAAGGTTGAACGCTAGTTCTTCCTCTCATGTTTAAAAGAACAATCCACTGCGATGAGTAGCACCAAAATCACACAACTACTCTGAAAACGCCTCAAGTCAATATCTGAATGGAAAAGTATTGTAAACCAGCAAAATTAAGGCCTTAGAAACTCTAGTACAGTCAGCTTTCATATAAAGCTCCTCAATACAGTACAATTTTCTATAAATGTGATTAAGCAAATAGTATATGCAGTGATGAGTAATGCCAGAGAGGCCTTCATAGTATGTGCTATTCAACTCTCCATGCACTTTTCAATTGCATTTACAAAAAATTTCACTATACACGGAGTACATGTATTATAAGAAATGACTTCATAATACGTACTACAAATGTTATATCAAGGCATTACATAAAATGACATATTCTTTTATCAACCGTATACTGAACTTTATGGAAATAAAGATTTTGATTTTGACTTGATCACACAAGTGTACAAATAGGTTGGTAGACGGCAACCACCCAGGGAGGTACTTCCGTCCTGCCAAATGTGTGTAAAATGAAAACCTGTAATTGCTTTACACAATGGTAGAATTGTTGCACCTCCCCCACAGTCACATCTTGCTCTTCCTCACTCCTCAAAGATAGTATACCTCCTTGGCCAGTGCATGAAATCCCTGCTTCCCTCTCTTCATCAACATTTAACAGCTCAAAATATTCCCTCCATCATCCCAATATCTCCAACTCCCCATCTAATAACTCTTCTGTTTTTAACCCTTTGACTGTCGCGGTCGTATATATACGTCATGGGAGATACCGTGTTTGACGTATCTATACGCATAAATTCTAGCGGCTTCAAATCGAGCGGGAGAGGGCTGGTAGGCCTACACGAGAGAGAATGGGTCTCAGTGGTCGGTGTGCACCCTGTGAAAAAAATCTGGGACTCAGCGGTGCATTGTGGGAACGCCATCTTGGTAGTCCATTTTCACAATGCCTCGCGGTAAGAAGTTCCTCACTCCTCGGCGGACTGGAGGTCTTTTGTTCCAAGTGATAGCTCAAACAGTGATGATAGTGTCAGTGAAAGTGAATTCCCTGGTTTTGAAGCAGGTGTGACCGAGAAAATTACCCAGGATAACATAATTAGTGATGAAAACCCAGATGACCCACAACCTTCCACCTCTGGTGCTGGGCCGGCTCGTTCATGTTCACCTGTACCAGGACGAAAGAGGAAACTATTTGCCAGTGTACAAGACTCAGATGTGAGCAGTGCAAGTGATAGTAATAGTGATTTCAAGGTTACTGAACGCAGTTCTAGCTGCGACAGTGAGGGTGAATATTCCCCAGTGAAGCGGCAGTATATACGACGTCGCATGCGGTCTGGTAGTGTGCCATATGCTCTTCCAAGAGGAAGGAGTACATCTCGGAGCACATCCCGTGGCTCTACACCACGTCCTGATAGTGAAGATGACGATATTGTTACGATGGGTATAAATGATGTGAGTGAGGCAGCAGGCGGTGGTGGTGATAGTGATGGTGGCATGAGTCATGTGACACCAGCAGCGGGCCATGCTACTACCCGTGCTGCTGACTCTGCACAACTACAACCAGCCTCGCCCGACCCCACACTCCCACAACCACAACCTGCACAACCACAACCACATTACAATATCCAGAACGCACCAGCTGACTGCATCTGGGATTGGCAGCAAGATGACGAGTTTGTTCCCAATCCCCATGACTTTGATGGAGGACAAAGTGGAATACGGCCATCATGTACACTTGGGAACAATCCCACTGAACTGGAATGCTTTCGGTTGTTCTTCGATGAACCCCTGATGGACATTATTGTCAGGGAAAGCAATACATACTATGAGTACACCATGGCAAACACTATTCTGTCACCAAGATCACGCCTACACCAGTGGAAGGACACAACTGTGGCAGAGATGTATCTGTTCTTTGCCACAATAATGCTTATGTCACAATAATGCTTATGTCAATGGTCCAAGTCGGACCGAAACGTCGTCGTAAGCTTCTGTCTTTTATGTGCGGGTTATTTGTGTATCGTTCCAGTCACGGTATTGTGCCTTTTTGTTATTTATGCTTATGCCACATGTGTATAAGCATAGTGTCAACACATACTGGGCGACAGACCGCCTGATTTCAACCCCTGCTTTCAGTGACATTATACCAGTGAATAGATTTGTGTTACTGTTACGTATGTTACACTTTTCAGACAAAACCAGGCCTGACAGAAGCGACAGGTTATATAAGATCAAACGTGTGTTTATGTACCTGAAACAAAAGTGCTGTATGTATTTTTATCCCTTCAGGAAGCTTGTTATTGACGAGTCTTTGATTTTGTTCAAAGGAAGACTCTCATTCAAGCAGTATATACCAAGCAAGAGGAAACACTTTGGTATAAAGTTATTTGTTGTGTGTGACTGCAAAACTGGTCTGGTTTTGGATATAATTTTGTACACTGGCGGTAAAACAATTGAAGATACCAGGAAGTTACTGGGTATCTCTGGTGATGTGGTTAGAACAATGTTGGAGCCATATCTTGGTAAGGGGCATATTTTATATACTGACAACTGGTACACAAGCCCTATACTCAGTGATTTCTTGCGAGTGAACATGACAGATGTGTGTGGCACAGTGTGTAGAAATCGTAAACATATGCCAAGGTTCGATGCTGGCAGTCGTAGAGGTGAAGTGCAGGTGTTTGCTGCCAATGACATCATGGCATTTCAGTGGCATGACAAACGTGATGTCACACTGCTGACATCAGTTCACCGACACGAAATGGTAGACACTGGCAAGCAGAATAGAGAGACCAATGAACCCATTGTAAAACCTGCAGCTGTGATGGATTACAACCTCAATATGCGCTTAGTGGACAAATGTGACATGCAGATTGGGTTTGCTGACTGTGTTCGCAAGAGTTATAAGTGGTACATAAAACTGTTTTTCCATCTTCTTGACATTTCCATGCTGAATGCTTATAATATGTATAAGTTGAAGACCAAGAAGAAGCCCAAATATGGTGAATTTTGTTTGTCAGTCATCAGACAAATAATATTCAAGTACCAAGAAACAACACCTGCAATAGACCAGCGCCCACAAAATTATCAATACACGTCCTCTCGTCTGAGGCCTGGTGATCACTACCCCATACCACTGCCTGCTACTACTGCCAAGAAAAATGCTCAGAAGAGGTGTTTTGTCTGTGGACATACTACAAAACGCCCACAAAAACGCAGACACTCGTTTTATGTGTGAGGAGTGTAAGACACCATTGTGCTTATACCCATGTTTCAAAGAATTCCACAAGCTGCAGCACTTCTAGAAAAGTGTCCAGTGATTGTACATATGTAAATATATTATAAAACAATCGTAATAAACATTTGTTTACATTGTTTGTTTGTGTAAACAAGTTTTAGCAACATTATAATGATACGAGTGTTTTTTGCTATAAAGTGGACCCGTTAACGATTTGTATATCCGTGCAAGATGGAATAATTGTTCATGCCAAAAACGTTATGGAAATGAATTTTACCATAAGAAAACCATGATACAATAATCAATTTAATCGCGTGCAAGACGCCCAACAAGTTAGAAATTAAAATTTTTTTTACACATGAAATGTTAATTTTTTTGACTACACAAACTGAAAAAGGCATCACATTATACATGAATTATCTTTTATTGAAGATCTTCGGACCAGATGACTTGCATGGATGGTGAAGAGGGTAAGCATTATCTTCTTACTGGCTTTATAAGGGAATCCCCTTCCATTTACGACTTGAGGTACAAGTCCTTTGTCCGGGGTTACTTCCCTTCTGTCTTTTTAGTTGCCACTAGGACAGCTTGACAGTCTAACTGGCCTGTCTCTGCAACAAACTGTGCCATAGAGCTCTGTACTCGGTCTTTCGATTTGTCTAAAATCGGCGCACACATGTCATGAAAATAGTCACCTAGCTGGTTTAAACAGCTGTGCACGGTGATTTCATCTAAAAGTTTGCAGTTCAACCCACTGTGCATCATTTCCTGTATCTTTGAAGTAGGCACATATGGATTCCACAATGGCATAGGCTTCTCAGGGTTAGCCCAAACCTTCAAAATCTTTCTTAATTTCCATACTAATTCTCACCCTTTTACCACGGGTTGCCTAGAATCTTTCTTAGGGCCCATGGTCACTTTATTTTCCTAGAATCAGCAACGAAAACCTGTTTTAATAATACGAAAATTCCGAAGTGTATGCATGGATGTTACCGGGGGCTGGTGGTAACAATGGGAACGGGCGCACATGTGAGGGCACATGACGCGTTTACTGGACGAAAATTCGGAAGGGGTTTTTAAATCGGTATGCCGGCAAAATTGCTTCTGACATAAAAGTAAGCGTATGCGAAAATCGCTATGTGATGCTCTTATCGATGGAGGGGTCCACTGAAATGTGTTGATTTTCAACGAGTGTATATTTGAACATTGCACAATAATTTGGTCTCACAGGCCACAAAAGTTATGTGAAAAAAAAAGTAGTGAAAAAAACAAGAAACCATCGAATACAAGTAAATCAAAGTTTACCGGGTGAGCGGCAGTCGCCGCTGTTGCTGCTCGCAGATCAATTTCAGCAAACTTCAGGACTCTATATCTCGGTAAGTACTGATGGGAATTTTTTTTTTTTGGACTAAAACAATCAGAAAAATAATCTTAACATTTTCATAAGAAAAAATAATTTTTTTTTTTGAATATTTTGCGGCACCAGGAGACACTTCAGGATTGGGCCCTTCGACAGTCAAAGGGTTAACTGTCATATCCATTCATTTCCTAGGCTTTCTCAACTTATTAATATCACTCCAAACCTTTTTCCTATTCTCATCAAAATTTGTTGACATCTCTCATTTGCTCTCCTTTTACATTCCCTTCCTGCTCCATTAACCCTTTCAGGGTTTCCAACATACTAGTACAGCTTACGTACTAGTATGCCTAAATTCTAGCGCCTTCAAATCTAGCAAGAGAAAGCTGGTAGGCCTACATATGAAAAGATGGGTCTATGTGGTCAGTGTGTGCAGTATAAAAAAAATCCTGCAGCACACAGTGCGTAATGAGAAAAAAAAAAATTGTCAGTGGCTTTGGTTTAAAACATCGACTTTGCACTGTATTTTCGTATGGTATTTATGATGGTATTCTAGTTTTCCTGGTCTCATTTTATAGAATGGAAGACATATTACAGAAATTGAGATGATTTTGATTGGATTCACAATGAAAAGTACCTTGAAACTGAGCTCAAAGTAGCAGAAATGTTCGATTTTTGCCCAAGTTGAAAAGTAAACAAATCATGCCAAGCGTCCAATATACGTCAACTGGTGAGTCTAATATTCTTTCACAAGTACACTGATATTATTTATACCATTTCTACACTAATGCAGTAGTCTGCATAAGAGTAAATCTTCTATTTTTTTTTTTTTTTGAGAATAAAAATTCAAAGTGGAAAGCAAAAGAAATGTAAGAGGGGCCTGGGGATGTGACTAATGAACAGAGGAAATGTTATTTTAGTGCCAGGAATGTCTGTCTTGTTTATTTTGGACCCTATTTGGAAATTGGTATCTTTTGAAATTTGTGTGAAACTGGCAAAATTGCTAATTTCTGACCACTTTATTGGATAATTAAAATCAGTAAATGGATGGTTTCTTGTACTCATTCGATAGAAAAAATGGAGTTCTAGCGAAATAGTTATGATTTTTGTCGACTAGTATGCTGGTATTGGCCAAAAATAGGGCTCAAAGCAGGCAAAATCACTGATGCGTAAATGTCGTTGAGACCACTAACTTTGCAAGAGCATAATTCCATAAGTTTTCCATCAAATTTCATACTTTTGGTGTCATTATGATTGGGTAAAGATTCTCTATCTTTTCATAAAAAAAAGATTTTTTTCCAAAAAATTTTCGACCCTGAGAACAATTTTAGGAGAGGGCCTCTCGACCCTGAAAGGGTTAAGGGGCCCCTGGACCATGGAGTGTGCAGAGTAAAAAAAAAAACTCTCTTTTACTTTCCATGTACTTCTCCTTCCATGCATCATTTTTTTGTAATAACCTCTCATATGCTAACATTTTCTCACTCACCACTCTTTTTACCTCATCATTCCACCATTTCAGGGTTAAGAATGCATTGTTTACAAACAAACAACAAAATTAGGCATTACAAATAGAACACATAAGCAGACAATTATTTAAAGTTGAATTATGATTATAGTGGATTTTATTTTTTAAATTGTCGGCTGTCTCCCACTGAGGCTGGGTGACCCAAAAAAGAAATACTTTCACCATCATTCAACAATTTCACCATCATTCAATACTTTCACCATCTTTCACACATAATCACTGCCTTTGCAGAGATGCCCAGATATGACAGTTTGATGTCACTCCAAACAGCCAATATCTTAAACTATAATTTTAGATACTTTAATTTCCACTCGTTACAATAATGTAATTTTTCAGTTTTTTTTAATTTTTTTTTAAAGCTTTAAATAAACAGCATTATGAATGTTGGATGTTTGAGCCTCACGTTTAATATGGCTAGAAATTAGTCACTTATTTTTGTAATTAATTTCTAATTACAGGTGGGCCCCGCTTTATAGCACTTTGCTTTACAGCAACTCAATAATGTGAACATTTCAAATTATGACCAAAAATTCATTTATACAGCTCCCTGATTCGTTATTATGGTGCTCATGCACCACTCTGTTGACATTCTCCGTGAGCTCAATAACTCTCGATCATAGCTGGAAACTTTCCAAAATTTCAAGCATTTTAAAGTTAATGCATATTTTATATGTGCTCTGATAATTGTACTTACGTGTGCCTGTACCTAAATAAACTTACACATTGTGCTGGCATGCAGGTATACATTAACCCTTAAACGGTCCAAACGTATATATACGTTCACTCGCGCAGCACCCCGAATATTTTGAAAAAAAAAAAAAGTCTTTTTTTATTTTTTTTTTATTTTATTTTCATTATCACACTGGCCGATTCCCACCAAGGCAGGGTGGCCCGAAAAAGAAAAACTTTCACCATCATTCACTCCATCACTGTCTTGCCAGAAGGGTGCTTTACACTACAGTTTTTAAACTGCAACATTAACACCCCTCCTTCAGCACATTTTTTAAGTGTTTTAACATAAAAAAAAAGTTTAGGGTCAGTACTTACCGAGGTATGAGGCCGCGAAGTTGGCACTTGGCGATCACCTGACGGCAACATGGAGCACTGCTGCTTACAGAAATTCAACATATTTACCGTTTTCTTCCATTTTTTTTTTCATTTTCTTGGTTTTCATGATATGATAATTATGTTTCATAGTAAGTCATTTGATATCAATGCCAATTTTTGTTTATACACCAATATTACATACGAAATTTTTATCATATTGTCATAAACACACATGTACACACTGACAGGTGATTTTGCACACCTGGCTGAATCACACATTATTATCTACAACTATATACAAGTATTTACATGTCCCGCTTATGTTTCTAGAACTCCACAATTGTATGATACTCCATGAAGCATGGATTCATACAGAGTGCCACCCCACACTGGTGACACATGAATCGTGTGTCCTTCCGCTGTTGGGGTCGTTTTTTGGTGGTAGCACACACAATACACTTTTTCTGGGCATTCTTCTTCTTTTGGGTAGGTGGTATTGGTACCAGATAGTGACAGTTAGGAGTGATTCGGTCTGTCACTTCCCCCACTGGCTGTGGTTGGGGGACAGGTTGTGGTGTGACAGGTCGCTGTTGAGGGGAAGGTACAGGTGTGGTACCATACTTTCTTGCTATCTGTTTGACGAGATTCAGAGAGAAATCTGCAAAACGTTGTCGTTTTCCAGTCTTTACTTCATACATACTGAATGCATTGAGCACTGCAATGTCTACAAGGTGAAAAAACAGTTTTATATACCACTTGCGACTCCTACGCACACAGTCAACAAACCCTATCATCATGTCACACTTGTCAACTAGTCGCATGTTGTTCGTATCGTCCACGACAGCAAGTGGCTTCACAATAGGTTCGTTGTTGAACTTGCTCAGTCTGTCTGTTTGTACCATCTCGTTTCTGTGGATGGTTGATAGCAATGTCACATCTCGTTTGTCATGCCACGTCAGTGCCATAATGTCATTAGCATGAAACTCTTGCACTTCACCTTCAACACTGCCTCCAGTGAACCTTGGCATATGTTTCCTATTCCTTCTCACTGTTCCACATATATCAGTATTGTTCACACGTAGGAAATCAGCAAGCATAGGGCTTGTATACCAGTTGTCTGTGTACAATGTATGGCCCTTGCCAAGGTATGGTTCCATCATCCTGCGAACAACATCACCGGAAATGCCCAACATCCTTCTGTCATCATCGAGTGTGTTTTTCCCTGTGTATACAATTACATCCAACACAAGACCACCCCTCACAGTCACACAACAAAAAGTTTTATACCAAAGCGATTACGTTTGCTCGGTATATATTGCTTGAATGACAGGCGTCCCTTGAACAGAATCAAGGACTCATCAACAACAATGTTCTTGAAGGAATAAAAGTATACACTGAATTTCTGCTTCAAATACATAAACACTTCCCGGATTTTGTATAGAAGGTCATTTCTGTCTGGCGTATTTCTGTCTGTGAAGTGCAACATTCGTAGCAACAGAGTGAATCTGTTGCAGGGAAGGAGATCACGGAAAACTGGAGTACTGATGAAGTGGTCTGTAGACCAGTAATTACGTATATTGTTCTTATAGATATGTGGCATAAGCATGACAGTGGCAAGGAATAAATACATTTCAGCCACTGTTGTCTTTCCACCTGTGCAGCCGTGATGATTCTCCAACCTCTGTTGTGTTGTTCAGGACATATTGGTAATAAATGTTTGTCTGAGTCACTATCAAGTTCAATATAGGCTCGTCAAAGTACAACTGGAAATAGTCTAACTCTGTAGACTCATTCGTTATGGGACATTTTGGCTGGATACCACTTCCACTAGCATCAAAATCACAAGGCTGTGGCACGAATATACTTTGTGTCCAGTTCCACCCACAATCACATGGTGCAGGGTGGACCTCTGGCATGGGGCGAGGGGGGGGCAGGAGGAGGAGGGAGAGGAGTGGAGGCAGCACATGGTTGAAGGGGTGCCGGGCGGTCCTTTGTCTGTCCACCCACTGCGCCATGTGGTCCAGGCACCATGCCACCCACCACTACTTCCTCCATCCCCGCATACTCCCCTTCGTGATCACTTTCACTATCAGTGGCCAGGGTTTTGGATCGTGACCTGCCACGACCCTTGGGGATTGCATATGGCACACTGCCTGAACGTAGATAACGACGCCTAAAAGTACGTTTCTCTGGTGAATAATGAACGTCACTATCACTAGACGAATCCTCAACTGGCATAAAATCAATCTCATCATCACTTACATCACTTTCACTATCACTACTAAAACACCGGGAAAATGATAGTTTCCTCTTGCGAAATTGCCTATGGGTAACACTTGCCACTCCAGAGGTGCTTGGCCCAGGGTCTTCTGTGGCCACACTGGCCACCCCAGAAGTGCTTGGCCTAGGGTCTGGTGTGGCCACACTGGCTACCCCAGAGGTGCTTGGCCCTAGGACAGGTGTTGCTACCCCAGAGGTGATGGGCTGGGGGTCATCTGGGTTATCGTCGATATTTTCACTAATTCCTTGAATATTACTGGCCCCATTGGTGTTATATCCACTAAACTCACGATCTCTATCACTTTCCTCGAATAGTAGTGTGTTAGTACGACGAGGCATGAGTGAATCACGAGGATGTGCCATGATGTTGACCCAGGATGGAGCTGAATGTAACTGGTCCTACCATGTGGTACCCAGGCGTCCCAGATTTTTTGTATACTACGCACACTGAGTGCGCACACCCATTCTCTCATGTCTAGGCGGCTCAGACCTATCGCTCTAATTTTGAACGAATGAAAAATAAAACATACATACTGTATACGTTTGGGGCGCTACGCGTGTGAACGTATATATACGTTTGGACCGTTTAAGGGTTAAAATCACTAAGAGTGTCTCACTAGTGTTGAAAGATGCAATAAGCATGATAATAATAACAATAATCATCACTCTGGGGTGCTTTAAATGCTGTATAATATGTTAATAAAGAGATGACATTTTTTCAAAATTATATAAGAAACATGTTACGTATCATATAAACATAATACATAGAGCCATAGTAGAACAAATTGACATAAATATGAGATGTGGTTGCCAGGTGGCTTGTCAGTGACAGAAAGAATTCCATTTTCTCTAGTTCAACACCAGAGAAGCTGTGTATAGCATTACTAGGGGTAACTGTAAAAAATATTCCTTTCATATGCCTTCACT